CCCCCTCCCCTTCCCTTCCCCCTGCCCTCCCCTTCCCTTCCCCCTGCCCTCCCCTTCCCTTCCCCCTGCTTCCGGCAGGTTCTGCTGGCCAGCATGTTCTGTGCAGAAGCTTATTACCAGAACCTCTTCAGCCTGTCCCAGCTGGACAAGTGTACGTACGGCCCCGGGGGGGGGGGGGGGCGTTCCAGGTGAGGCCGAGGGTGAGCTGCGCTGGGCCCTGGCAGCTGCGCACAGCCTCTCCCCGGAGTGCAGGCGGCGGCCGTGCCTCTTCACCCCTGCAGCCGCCCCAGCTCAGGCTCCTACTGCGGTTTGCCTGGAAGGCTCCGCCTCTTCCATATCTACTTATTCTTCTTCTGACCCTTACGGTCATTTGGCCTCAAGGCTCTGTGTCCTGTGTTCCCCGCAGAGCCAGGCCTGTGGCCAAGTGACGGAGGAGGGGACACAGGATCGTGTCCGCTCCCAGCCACACTCGCTCCTCAAACAGGCTTGCCTGGCGGAAGGGGCCTCGCACGAGACCCAGGGTTCTTCAGCCCGGGATGAAGGCCTTCTCTGGGGGTTTGGAGGAGGGTCACACCTTCAGGGCTCCTTGGCAGTGGGTGGGCTGTTCTTTAAAAAGAGGTTCCAGGGGGCGCCTGGGTGGCTCAATCGGTTAAGCCTCCGACTTCTCAGTTCATGATCTCACGGTTTGTGGGTTCGAGCCCAGCGTCGGGCTCTGTGCTGACCGCTCAGAGCCTGGAGCTGCTTCGGATTGTGTCTCCCTCTCTCTGTCCCTCCCGGTCTCAAAAAAAAAAAAAACCTATAAAAAGGTTCCAGCAATATTCCTGTTACCACAAATGTATTTTTTTTCTCCCAGATTCTCCAGAAAATCTCGATGAACAGATTAAGAAGGTGTCCCAGCAAGTCCTGGAGAAGCGAGCCTACATCTGTGCTCACCCCCTGGACAGGACGTCCTGAGGCCCTGGACGCGGCCCCAGGCCCGCCGCCCGACCGGCTCTTCTCCGGGAGGGGGAGGACTTGCGGGTTTTCGCGGGTGGCACCAGTTCTTACCCGTCTACCCCGCAAGGGCGCGCTCCTGGCCCGAGGGGCTCGTGCTTACTGGGTGTGTACACGGGGCACGACCGTCACGTGTGCTGGGAACTAACAAAAATAGAGAACGCAGTTCGTGTTCACCTTCACCGCTCTGCTCACGTTTGTCCTCAGAGCCGTCTGGGGCCTTGCGTCCCGTGTGTGCGGAAGTTGGCCCTCCTCGCTCTTGCAGCGGGGACAGAAGGGAAGCGCGAGGTGACGCGGCCAGGCCTCTGCCTGTGTCTGCACGCCTGCTGCCCGGGCCCCGGGGCGGGGGGGGGGGCCGGAGGCCGGGCCCTTGCCGTCCGAGCGAGTCTGCCGCGTGGGTGACTCATCTTCAAGAGGTGAAAGTTGACAAGCCTGGTGACCCTGGAGGGGACTTTCCAGCGAGAGCTGACGTTCCTAGGGTTTTGTCGGTGGGACGCGCTGTCCGCACCGGGGGGCTGGGGCAGTTCGTTCCCCGCACGCAGCCGACTTTCAAACGCTGGGGCCCCCGGTTCAAGCCTCCGTTTCCCACCTGCGTCTCCGGGTTTTCCTTAAACGCTGTGGGGAGGGGGGCCCCGGCGGGAGGGGCACCGCGTTCAGCAACCTGCCGGCACCTCCTCCCCCGTTTCCTGGAGGTCACCCGCTGCCCCGGGTCGGGCTCGCTGGGGGCGGTTCCTCCGGCAAACCTGGTCCTAGACAAACGCCACTCCCTCCCCGAACAAAGGCTCCGGCAGCCACCAAATCTGGATTCTCTGTCCACCTGTAAGTGACCCCGAGGCCCGGCTTCACAGAAGGGTGCGAGGGGCCCTCGTGGGGCTCGGCGAACCGGTCTCCCAGCTCCGGAGCAGCGCAGGGACGCCGAACCCCACCTGACCCTGAGCTCCGAGCTCCGAGCTCGGACGTGTGGACGGCCGAGAGACTGCGGACCACGCCGCGCCCTCACCTGGTCCGGTCGAGGGCGGCTCGAAGAAGGGCGGCGGCTTCCTGTACAGGTCGAAGTCCTGGCGGCGCCGGTCCCAGGTCCACCTGCCTCGATCCGGCAGGCTGGCCAGCGGGGTGTGTTCCCGCCACTCCTGGGGGCGGGGGGCAGGGTAAGGGGGGGGGGGGGGCAGAGGGGCCCTGGGCCCGCCCGCGGCCCCTCCCCCCGCAGACCTCCAGCTCGGGGCCCGCGGGCGGCAGCCTCAGGCACCGGGCGCTGTCCGTGCCCTTGTGAAGCCCCGCGAGCTGGAACCCGCTGGCTGTGATCCAGGCCCGGCGGGACTCCCTCCTGGCCGCCTTCTCCTCCTCCTCGGGGTCCCTCGGCTCCACCGTGGCCGAGAGGAAGTCCTGGGAGTACGTGAACCTCTTCGTCGGCTCCTGGAAACGAGGGGCCGACACGGGGGGCGGGGCCGCTGACGGGCGGGGCGGGGCCGACACGGGGGGCGGGGGCGGGGCCGACCGGCCTCCGCGCAGGCGTCGGAAGCGGCACGTGGGAGACGTCGTGACCGCTCCCTGACGGCCTCCCCGGCAGAGGCAGCCGGTTCCCCGAGTCCGCGCGTCGGGGCGCCGAGGGCGCACACGCAGCGCGGGAACCGGAGGCCCCCAGAGCCGCGCCCCGCGCCCACCTTGGCCATCTCCCGGTACAGCGCCCTCTTGGCCTGCTGCGCGGAATTGAGGGTCTGGATCGCGTAGTTATAAACCGCGCCGCCGGCGGGGGCCGCAATTCTGATCACCTTCACCACCGCCTTCGGGGGCTTCCGGCCGCCCTGGTGGACGCCGATGTTTTTCTGCAGAAAGAGACGCCAGCCGTGACCCCCAGGCGGGCACTCGGGCCGGAGGGAGAGGCGCAGACGGTCACGGGCCTCGCGGACCCACGAGACCCCGCCCCGGGGCGGATCTGTTTCGCCGGCCGAAGGGGGAGACTTTCGGGGCCCAGGGCATATTCCGGGGAGCAGCACGGTCACCTTGCCCGTGGTCCCCGTCTCCCCAGGGCCCCGAGGCGGGTCCACGGCTCCCTCCCGAGTGGAAACGGCAGTGACGGGAGGTGCGGGGAGAGGCACCTCTTCGCCCCCAGCAAGGTCACCGTCTTTTGCTCTGAAGCAGCTCTTGACGCTAGAGGGTGACCTTGACGCCAGAGGGTGACCTTGACGCACGAACTGACCACCGTAGACCAGCCCCGCCTTGGCCTCGGGGGGCGGGGGGGGGGTCTCAGAGAGCAGAGCAGCCAGGGAAAGACCCAATCTGCGACTCGGCCGCTACGGGGACTGACGGCAGAGCCAGGCCTCGGGCCATCGGGTGAGCGACGAGAACATTCCAATAATCAGGATGAATAAGCTAAATGAAGAAGTGTAGAATTAACCAGATACCTGGAATCTATAGAAAACTCAAATGGAAATCTTAAAATTTTTTAAATAATCATCGAAATTACAATTCACTGGATGGGGGTGACTGAACGTACAGCGGAAGAGACCAATGAGTCACGATGGATTGGGAGGCGCCTGGGGGCTCAGTCGGTTCAGCGTCCGACTTCGGCTCAGACCATGACCTCACGGTTCGTGGGTTCGATCCCCGCGTCGGGCTCTGTGCTGACCGCTCAGAGCCTGGAGCTGCTTCAGATTCTCTGTCTCCCTCTCTCTGCCCCTACCCTGCTCACGCTGTCTCTCTGTCTCTCTGTCTCTCTGTCTCTCTCTCAGAAATAAAACATAAAAAGAAAAAAAGATGGATTGGTTTGAGGACACCTGGGTGCCTCAGTCAGTTGAGTGTCCGACTGTGGCATGGGTTCAAGCCCCACATCGGGCTCTCTGCTGTCAGTGCAGAGCCCGCTTCAGATCCTTTGTCTCCCCCCCACCCACCCCTCCCCTGGCTCATGCTCTCTCTCAAAAATAAACATTTAAAAGAATATCCAGATTGAAGCACACACTAAAACATGTGGAAAATTAAAAGCATGGGATACATAAGTAATACAAGATATACGTCATAGTGAAAATATCTAGCTTGTCATTCAAATCCCAGGAGGAGAGGGAGAGAGAACTTGACTAGGACAGAAGTATTTTTGAAGAGAAACGGGTCTAGAATTTTTGAAACGTAAAGATATCAAGCCACAGACTCAATCAGCTCCACAGCAAAATAAATATAAAGAAAAATAGATCTAGGAACATCAAAGTAACACTGAAAACAAAAAGGGGAACAATTTTAAATGCAATCGGAGAAGGGGACGGGATCTTCAAAGAGAGCCAGAATAAAAACGACAGCTGTCGGAAACAATGGAACTCAAAACACAATGGGGACGACAGCTTCCAATTGAGAAAATAACTGCCAAGCTAGCATCCTGCCAAGAAAAATACCCCCCAAAATTAGCCAGAGAAATGTGATCAACGGAACTCACTAATTGAAACGTGTCTCCTCAAAATACGGCACTGAAACAACGCAAAGGCAAAGCCACAGACTGCAGAGATGTTTGTAATACATGTGACTCACAGCTCGTCTAGATTTAAAAAAAAAAAAAAAAAAAAACAAGCCAGACGCCCTGGAGAAAAAATGCATTTGAACAGGCACCTCACGAAAGGAAATCTACAAATAGCCGATACGAGGTGCGGTTAGGTGCTGACGTTGCTGCGCATCGGGGAAAGGCACAGTGAAGTGAAAGCGCGACACCGGTACCCCTGACCAGAGTGGGAGGGCCACAGGCATGGGCAAGTTCAAGCGTCTGCAACACCGCGGCACAAACGCAGCGCCGCGTCCCGCGTTTGCCGGCGGCAGCGTGAAGTGGCACAGCCGCTTGGGAAACGTGCAGGTAAACGTGAAAACAGGCCCAGCCATGACCCAGTAAAGTTACTCCTGGGTATACGCCCAAGGGGATGAACAAGTGGGTCCAACAGGCTCTGCACAAAACCAGCGTAGCAACTTTAGCCATAATAGCCTCCCCCCGGAACACCCTGGAAAAGAACACAGATGTAAATCAGTAGGAGAATAAATAGTTGTGCCATACGCATAACGGAAAACTGCACAGCAACAAGTATGTATGTGAAAGACCAATCTTTATAAATATATATGTGGAGCAAAAGAAGCCAGTGCGAGAACACATGCTGTGTGGTTCCACTGTATAAGGTGCAACAAATAGCAGGCAAACGTACTCTGTGATGATAGATTCAAGACCGCAGTTAGTTGGGAAGAGGCGTGGCACCCCCGGGGGTGACCGAATCCTCCTACACCCTGGTCTGTGTAAGGGTTTCGCAGGTATGTGCCTAGATCAAAATCAATGAGGCTTATACACTTAAGACAGATGCATTTTACTGTATTTACTTGAAAAAGTATTACCAGAGACAAAGAGACCTATCATATTTATAAAAATCAAATCAACAGGATAATGCAGGCCTAAATTTGTGTATATCTAAAATGTAAGCGGACCGATACAAAACAAAACCGGGAGAGGAGAAAGAAACAAGCCCATCAGATTTGGAGATTTTAACAGACTCCCCTAGTAACTAAGGAACAGGATGCAGATTTGTAAAGTAAAACAAAGTTGAGGTATTTGGAACGCTACCCACAACTGCAGGGTGTATTTTTTTCCTCAAGTACTCGAACACTTTCCAGAACTGACCTATGATGGATTGTAAAATATCAACAAAGGATAGAAATCATACAGAATATATTCCCTGCTAGCAATGCGTAGAACTGAATAACAAACAGAGGTAACAAAAAGCCTAAAGTATTGGGGAATTACACATTATACCCTTAGCTAATCCACTGATCAAACAACAAATGAAAATGGAAAGTAGAAGATATGTTTAACTGATATGTTTTATATGATATATAAAATCGTGGGGGATACACTTAATATTCATAGGAAATTTTTAGCCAAGATGAACACATTATTATAATAAAATGATGCATGTCTGAAAATTATCAAACCATCTATCTGAAGAAATTAGAAAAAGCAGAACAAATTCGAGCCAGAGAAAGTAAGGAATAAGAACAGAAATCAATGAAACAGAAAATAAGTGTACAATATGGAATCAAAAAAGCAAGAGAGAGATTGGTTCTTCGAAGAAAATAATGCATTCGTAAATGCAATTTCAATAAAGATCTCAATTACCCACAAGCTCATGAATGAAGAGCAACTTGACATGGCAGAATGGGCAATATAAACCATTTGGGAAAGGGTGGGCATTTAAGCAAAGTGCTGGTACCATTGATCACATGGAAGAAATGAAATTAGATTCCTACCCTCGTCCAAAAAATAAATTCCTCGTGGATTCAACATTTAAATATGATGAACAAAAATTTACATCTTTTTAGAAGAAAGCACAGAATAGTTGTATGACTTTGGGGTGGGAAAAGATTTTAAATAAGGCAAAAAATTTAAGCCATGAAGGAAGATGCCCTGAAATTATAAAACAAAAGAGTACACATGCCCATTAACAACTTGTGGTATATTCCCACACTTCAACACATAAACATGGTTGAATCTCATTAATACTGAGCAAAAATTAAAACTGCGTAAGATTATATACAGTATTGGGGCGCCTGGGTGACTCAGTCGGTTAAGCGTCCGACTTCGGCTCAGGTCAAGATCTCGCCGTTCGTGGGTTCGAGCCCCGCGTCGGGCTCTGTGCTGACAGCTCAGAGCCTGGAGCCTGCTTCGGATTCTGTGTCTCCCTCTCTCTCTGCCCCTCCCCGACCTGTGCTCTGTCTCTCAAAAATAAACATAAAAGAAAAAAAGGAAAGCGCACACAGTGAGATGCAGCCACCTGTAAGCCAAGAGAAGAGGCCTGAGACCCGCACACCGACCTTGACTTCCCAGCCTCCAGGACTGTGAGAAGAGCAAGTTCTGACGGTTAAGCCATCCACGCTGCAGGGTTCTGTACGACCGTCTGCATAGACTAACGCAGGAAGGAAGGGTGTCCAGATCGGGAAGGACAAGTAAAGTGATCTTTATCCAGGGATGACATGATCCAATTTCAGAAGATTTCAGGATATGAAATCAATATGCAAACGCCAACTGTATTTCTCTGTTCTTGCAACCATTCAAAACTTAAATAATTCAGGGGCGCCTGGGTGGCTTAGTCGGTTGAGCGTCCGACTTTCGCTTAGGTCATGATCTCGCGGTTCGTGGGTTCGAGCCCCGCGTCGGGCTCTGTGCTGACTGCCGGCTCGGAGCCTGGAGCCTGTTTCAGTCTGTGACTCCCTCTCTCTCTGACCCTCCCCTGCTCACGCTGTCTCTCTCTCTCTCTTAGAAATAAATAAAAATATTAAAAAAAAAAACTTAAATAATTCAGTTCATGACGGCATGAATTTCATCAGGCGTCAGAGGTGTGCATGACAGTGACAAAACTTACTGAAGGGTATTACAGAAGACCCGAAAGATGTCTAGACATTCCATGCTCATGAATTACCAGCCCCAAAACTGTCAGTATGGAAATTCTCCCCAAAACTGATCTATACATTCAGTACAAGCCTTATGAAAATCCCTACAAGTTTTCTTTTTTAATAAATTGGCAAGGTGATCCTAAAATTATACAGAACTACAAAGGACCCAAAGCGCTCTAACAATTCTGAAAAAAGAAGACTTATACAACCCAATTTCAAAACTGCTTGTAAAGCTATAGAAATCAGGATAATGGGCTCATGCAGGAATAGGCATCTAAGTCTGCGGAATGTAACAGAGCCTAGAAATAAACCCCTACATTTCTGATCAACGAATTCTTGGTAAAGGTGCCAAAGCAATTTGATGGCGGGACAGTTGATCTTTTTGAAAAGCGGTGCTAAGACAATATCCACATGCAAAAAAGATGAATTTAGAACCTTATCTTACATCATACACATACACACAAAAATTGATAAAGATGCTTTAAAGGTCTAAGAGTAAAACAAAACTCCAAATCCCCTAGAAGAAGGCACAGAAGAAAATCTTTGCGGGCTTGGGTCAGGCAGGGCTCCAGGCTATGTCACCGAAAGCATGATCAATAAGAGAAAGACAATAAATTGGAATTCCTCAAAATTAAAAGCCTTCACACTTCAAGAGTTTTTCCTCACATGGTTGAGAATGTAAAGAGGCAAGCCATACATACCGAAAAATGTTTGCAAATCAGAGTTCTAACTAAGCAACTACATCCAGAATAAAGATCTCACAACTCAACAAGAAGACAACCGATTTTAAAATGTGTAAAATATATGAATAGTTACCAGAGATACAGAAATCATTAATAAGTACATTAAGAGATATCCAAGGGGCGGCTGGGTGGCTCAGTTGGTTAAGCGTCTGACTCTTGATTTCAGCTCAGCTCAGGTCATGATCTCACAGTTCATGAGTTCGAGCCCCACATTGGGCTCCACGCTGACAGCACAGAGCCTGCTTGGGATTCTGTCTCTCTCTCTCTCTCTCTGCCCCTCCCTGCTTGCTCGCTCGCTCTATCTCTTTCTCTCTCTCTCAAAATAAACATTAAACAATTTTTTGATGTGATACATCCAATCAATGGAATACTATCCATCAGTTTTAAAAAGGAACCATTGATACATTCTGCAACATGGATGAACCCCAGAAATATACTCCGTGAAAGAAGCCAGACACAAAAGGTCACATGTTGTCTAAGTCTGGGTACATGAAATGTCTAGAAAAGGCAAATCTGTAGAGACAAAAAGCAGATCCGTGCTTACCTGGGACTGAGGTGGGAAACAGGGATCAACTTCAAACAGGGACAGGGAACAGATTTACGGGGAAGGAAATGTTCTCACACCGGATGGTGTTGGTTGTACAGACCCCTAAGTTTACTTGCAAATTATTGACATATATACTTACAATGATTACATTTTATGGTTTGTAAATTATATCTTAGAGCAAAAACAGAAAAATTATGGTTGGGTTTCAATTATTGATAATAGCTTGTGCTCGCTTCGGCAGCACATATACAATTATTGATAATAGCCTGGCTGAGCTACTTAAGGCCATTTGAAATTAGCAACAACTAAGATAACAGAAACAATTTTCTAAAAATCTGGAACAATAATTCCAGGCGGTTTCAATACAGGCTGTGTCACGTAAATTGTACAAACATATTACCAAATTCTGTACAGCCATATTTTTATAAAATCTCCAAGACCCTGTGTTAAATGACATCAACAAAACAGTATTAACCCATAAATGAATGTGAAACATTTGTACACTTGAATGTGTGTGTGCATGTGTGTACGTGTGTAAGTGCCTTGAGAAGGTAGAATAACGGGGTAAGGGAAGACTGCTAATACTCAGCGGTTTGACTTTTTTATAGGACTGTATCTAGGACTTGTTTTGTAATTTCTAAGAAATTTAAGGCAAATAACAACCAGAGCATACAGTACATACAACACGTTATGGAATGTGGCCAAGGATGTATACAGAGGAAAATGCGTAGCCTTCCTTATTAACCAAGGATGAATAAAAATGAATGAAACAGTCAACTCAAGAAGCTGGGAAGTGCAGCCACTGTGGAAAACAGTACGGAGATGCCTCCAAAAATTAAAAATAGAACTACCATATGATCCAGTAAATCCACTACTGGGTATTCACTCAAAGAAAATGAAAACACTAATTTGAAAAGGTACATGGAAATCTATGTTGACTGCAGCGTTATTTACAATAGGCAAGATCGGGAAACAGCCCAAGTGTCCATCAATTGGCTAATGGACAAGGAGACGTGGTGTATATATGCACGATGGAATATTACTAAGCCATAAAAAAGAATGAGACGTTGCCATTTGCAAGAACATGGATGGGGCTAGAGAGTATAACGCGAAGTAAAATAAATCAGAGAAAGACAAATAACGGATGATTTCAGTTATACGTAGACTCTAAGAAATAAAGCAAATGAACAAACAAAAAACAAATAGACTCTTCAATACAGAAACCAAACTGGTAGTTGCCAGAGGGGATGCGGGTAGAGGATGGTGAAATAGGTAAGGGGATGAAGAGATACAAACCCCCAATTAGAAAACAAGCCACAGAGATTCACACTACGGCGGGGGAATGTGGTCAATAATATTGTAATAATGTTGTCTGGTGACACACGGCAACTGCAGTCACTCACCGTGGGCCAATCATACTTCAGTCATAAAAAAAATTTAAAAAGCTAGAAAGAAGAGAAAAAGTTTTAAAATATCATAAAAGATAACCGCTGAAGTTAATTAGAAAATAGAAAAACAGGAAAAAGCCGATGGATGAATTCAAGAGCTGGTTCTTTTGAAACAACGAAAACCCTGAACACAAATGGGGAAAACAGCTGTTTTCCTAAACAACATCCGCTCGCAAAGCTTACAAACTTCTTTCTGACATTTTCTTTCACTGGAGACTCGGGGGGGGAGGGGGTGCTCTCACACTAGACCGCGAGTGGACAACAGGTCACACACCTCGGAGGGCAGTGCTTGGAGCCTTCTCGGGGGCTGTGGAGGCGGGAGGTTTCCCTCAGCTCCCGGCCTTCAAGGTGAACTCTGGGTCCCCTTTCCCTTCCAGGGGGGACGGGGACGGGTGCCTGAGGGCGCGGGCACTTCCACCCTCTTCAGCCCAGCCCAGCACCTCTCACCCAGCCTGCCCGGGGTCCCCCCCAGGTGACTGGACAGCCCAGGCAGAGCGAAGGCCTGGGAGCCCGGACGTGGGAGGGGGGGCGCCCACCTGGACCGCGCCGTGACCCCGCACCCGGGGGGGCGCCCACCTGGACCGCGCCGAGCCCCCCGCACCGGGAGGGGCGCCCACCTGGACCGCGCCGAGCCCCCGGCTTCCGGGCTTCGGGGCCAGGCTGCTCCGCCCCCGCAGGGCCTTCTGGGGGGCCGGGATCTCCGGAGCGAGCGCGGATTTCCGCCCCGGGGAGGCCTCCAGGCTGGGGGCGGGGTGAGCGGGCGAGGCCACCGGCTTCCCGTCTGTGAGGTCTCCGTGCGAAATGGGCCGCCCCAGCCGCTGGCTCAGGTCCGAGACCCCGGCGGAGGAGGGCAGCAGGTCCCTGGCGACCGCCTCCCGGAGTCCGGCGCTGCGGTAGCAGATGTCGTAGACCCTGGAACGCAGAGGGCGCCCCGCTCACGGCCCGTCTCCCTCTCAAGGTGGGGGCACCGGCCGCGTTTCAGGAGACGGAGCGAAGCCCGGAGGCCGGCTCGCTGCCCCCGGGTCCCAGAGCTCCCGCCGCTGGTCGGAGTCCAGGGACGAGCGCCCGTCCCCACCGCACGCCCGTCCGGGGACAACCCCGACCCGCCAGCCGATCCGGGGCGTCGGTCCCAGAGCTCCCGCCGCAGGAGGAAGCCGCTGCACACACCGCGCCGCGTCTCAGCAGCGGGGGGACCGAGCGGCCGTCCCCGGGCCCCCCCAGAGTCCTCCTCGCTGCCCTCCCCCGGGTCCGGGGGCCGGGGTCGGGGGACCAGGGGCAGGGCGCCGGGGGACCGGAGGGCCGGGGGTCCAGGGGACCGGTGGTCTGGGGTCCGGGGGACCAGGGTCCGGGGGTCCGGCCCTTCCCCTAACACCCCCGCCCCAGCCGCTCCCGTCACCCGTGGGGCAGGGTGCCCGCCTGGCTGCCGCCCGAGGCTCTGGACGCCCGTGTGTCCCCTCCCCTTCTTGAGCCGCAGCCCCAGCCCATGGCTTCGGGGCTACCCGGTCCACACCCTCCCCGCCCCTCAGGCAAGGAGGGCGACCACGGGACTGGGTCCTCTTTCTCGGCGTCCGGGCCCCCCCTTTCCCTCCCCGCCTCCGCCCCCTCCTTTATTAACATATTCAAGAGTGGGGCGCCAAGGCTCGGCCACGCTGCTGCTGCTTTAAGGGGTAAAGAGAGGGTTTGTACCCCCGCCCCCCCCAGCCCGCAGGGAGGGGACTCGTCCGCCTGACCCCCAGACGCGCAAGGTCAGCCCTTCCTGGGAGGGAAGAACCAGCCAGTGTCCTCCGCCGCCCGCACAGGGCGGCCGGGCCCCGGGACCCCGCCGCGCTAGGCCTTCTCCGCCTCCGCTTCCAAACCCGCCGTGCCTGGCGGGGCCCGCGGCCGGAGCAGCGCCGGCGGAGTGCTCCCGACCTGCCGGCGCGGGTGCTCCCGACCTGCCTGCGCGGGTGCTCCCGACCTACCTGAGCCGGTGCTCCCGACCTACCTGAGCCGTTGCTCCCTACCTGCCGGCGCGGGTGCTCCCGACCTACCTGAGCCGGTGCTCCCGACCTGCCGGCGCGGGTGCTCCCGACCTACCTGCGCGGGTGCTCCCGACCTACCTGAGCCGGTGCTCCCGACCTGCCTGCGCGGGTGCTCCCTACCT